TTTTAAATTAAATATTAACAGATGTCTTTAGATGTGTGTCAAAAAGTACATAAGATAAGGCTTTTGGTTGGTCAACTTATCTGAACATCAATATCAATTAGGTTACCCTGGCCTGTCATGTCATCCTCCAGACCAATGTTCAATGTCAGTTTGCATGTCTTCATATGCAAAAAAAGTTAAGAGAAAAGCTAACTTTAGTTCTTTATTACATATAAATTTATGCAGTTTTTTTTTTGCATGTAATAAAATTATATATATTTATAATTATTTTTAATTGGCTCAATGCAAATTTTTATACATTTCATACGCTGGACATATTCAAGCCCTGTCCATCTACGGTGATCACTCAAAACAGGGGTCAGCAACCCTGTCACATGTGTCATCATTAAAGGGATAGTTCACCCAAAAATTAAAATTTGATGTTTATCTGCTTACCCCCAGGGCATCCAAGATGTAGGTGACTTTGTTTCTTCAGTAGAACACAAATGAAGATTTTTAACACAAACCATTGCAGTCTGTCAGTCTTATAATGGAGGTGAATGGGAATCACGGTTTTGAGAGTAAAAAAAAAACATACACAAACAAAACCAAATTAAACCCTGCGACTCGTGATGATACATTGATGTGTAAAGACACAAAACGATTGGTCCGTGCAAGAAACTGAACAGTATTTATATCGTTTTTTAACTCTGATTCAAGCAATGTCCGAACTGTTCGAACTGTCCTGAGCTATAAGTCTACGATCTGCCATAAAGCAAGAAGAAGAAGACGCGTCAGGCACCAGCTGTTGAGAATGCGCTCAGGAGGACGCGCTCAGGACAGACAGTTCGGACATTGCGGTGAAAATCAGAGGTAATAATTATATAAATACTGTTCAGTTTCTTGCACAGACCGATCGTTTTGTGTCTTTAAACTAAGCAGTTCAGTTCTATTGATTAGCCCAGTCTCATCTGCACTGATGGTAGTATTGCATTGGGGATTGCTCTGCTGTCTTGTAGCTTCAAAGTACTCTCAAAGTACACAATGTTGACAGATTTGGCATAAGACTATCAGTTTTAGGTTAGGTTACCCTGGCTCATGTCATCAAAACTTGTTAAAGTCAATATTAAAGAAAGGACCATATCACATTCACATTTTAAAATGTATATATGAGTGGGGCGGGGCTGAGAGCCGTGGGAGCGGAGTGAGGCTGGTGGAGTAAATGATAATGAGTAAATGATAATGAGCAATGATAAATAACACCTCACCGTTCTTGAGTCCCACGGAGGAGCTCCGGAACAATTAAAGGAGGAGTGACGACAGTGCAAGAAGAGAGAGGACCAGGCCTTGAACATTTTAGTTGTGCTTTTGTTTATGTTTATGTTTATGCGGCAGTCATCCATGAGGGGCTGCCACTTAGTTTTGTTGTTGTTTATTTTGTTATTAAATTTATGTTAAACGTCCGCCAGTTCTCTCCTCCTTCTTCCCCGATCTATGAACTTTGTTACAGTATTATTCTTATTATGCTAGTGAAATATTTAGGACTGTGTCTGTGCTTGTGACAGCCAATCAGCATTGTTATGATATGATTGACTTTTAGCACTTTTTTGTAGATGACAATCATTTCCAATCATTTAGTCTGCTTAAACACGTCACCCCACAATTGACTGCAAGCTCGCATTTATTTTTTATTAGAACACCCACATTTCAAAATCCAAACAACAACTGATGGATGAAACCAAGTCCACTTTTTTTTTCTTCTTTTTTGGTAATTTGTTACATATGCATGTACATCAAACTTGACAAAAATAAATAAAAAATCTGTCTCTACTTACAGTACGTTTCATCATGAATTTAAAGTTTCTGCGGGACTTATTAAATGTGTACATTTTAATTCATTTAATTCTGCACCACAGCACTAAGTTGATGTATTCCCTCAGCGACCAGCACAGATCAGCTCTAGGCATGACGAAGTGGATATCGTCCTCTTTTGGAAGACCAAACAAAGTAGTTTCGCTTTCACAACGAAGCACACAGTGTCTCCACGGCATGGCTGCAGCGTCAACAATACTACAGTGAGAATAAAAGGGCGGCGTTATGCAAATCTTCCCACATAGTGAGGTAGATATGTGGGGGCGTGTTAGAATGAGCCGTTTTAGGTAGGCGTGGTTAACTCTTAACTTTTATAAAGAATTTCTCTTTGGATTTGAGACTTTAGTCTTTGCAACTTTACAGATCTTCTTTATGCACCAAGAGCTTGTAACACTCCAAAGAGAAAGGAAAAATTGAAATTAATGCTTATTAGTGCACCAGTATTGTAAAGTTTAACCGGCAAGTAAACACAGGAAGTGCATGTAATACAAGGTTCCAGACATTGTTCAGATTAGTACAAGCTAGACAGGGAGGGATTAAGGAAAGAGAAAGTAAATGGTGTTTTTTTTTTCTTTTTAAATTAGGATACAGTCAAATATTGATGAAAGAGATGTTTTCAGCTGTCACTTGAAAATTGTCAGGGATTCAGCATTCCAGATGGGGGTTGGAAGACCATTCCACCAGCACGGAACGGTGAATGAAAATGTTCTGGAAAGTGATTTTGTGCCTCTCTGTGATGGTACCATGAGGCGTCGCTCACTTGTAGATCTCAGGCTTCTGGAGGGGATATAGATTTGTACGAGTGAGTGTAAGTAGTGTTAAGAAGGGTGCTGAGCCCATGGCTGTTCTATATGCATGCATCAATATCTTGAACTTGATGCGAGCAGCAACCGGTAGCCAGTGCTGTGAGATAAAGAGAGGTGTGACATGGGCCCTTTTGGGCTCGTTGTAGACCAGTCATGCTGCTGCATTCTGAATCATTTGTAAAGGTTTGATTGCACATGATGGAAGTCCAGTCAGAAGAGCACTGCAGTAATCCAGCCTAGAAATGCAAGGGCTAGAAGTTGTGCAGCATGCTCCATTAGGAAGGGCCTGATCTTTCTGATGTTGTGCAATGCAAACCTGCATGATCGAGCCATTTTTCCAGTGTGATTTTTGAAAGTAAGCTGGTCATCATAGATTACAAGATTTCTGAATAAACTTGACCAAACTTTTTCAGGAAAATCAGGATTCATGAATCAAGAATCATCAAGATTCTTTGTCATGTTGGTTTTATTATCTTGAAAGTTGTTTGAGCAGTATAGCCAAACTAATTTCCTTAATTTAAACAAAGCCTTACAAGGTAACAAAATATAAAAATAAAACATTTTAACTGTCCACGAGCAAAAATCGTGATATCGCACACCCCTACTTTCATCCATGCTGAGATGTCCGCCAGGCAGCCTGAGATCCGTGCAGCTACCATCATCTAGTTAAAATGACAGATACAGCTGTGTGTCATCAGCATAGCAATGGTAGGAGAAACCAAGTGCTTGTATGATGGGTCCCAGTGATGTAGTGTATATGGAGAAGAGGAGGGGTCCAAAAACTGATCCCTGAGGAACCCCTGTGACCAGTTGATGTGCTATATAATAAGAAATCTGAAAGACCTTCCTGTGAGATAGGATTCAAACCAGCACAGTGGAATCTCTTTGATGCCAAGTGATGAGAAGGTGGACAGAAGAATCTGATGATTTACAGTTTCAAATGCGGCAGAAAGATCCAGCAGAATGAGAACTGATTTGGAATCAGCTTTCGCAATCCACAAGGCTTCAGTGACTGACAATAAAGCAGTCTCAGTTGAATGGTCACTTCTGAAACCTGAATGGTTATTGTACAGTTGGTTATTATGTGAAAGAAATGATACCTGGTTGTAAACAACTCGTTCAAGTATTTTCACTATGAATGGAAGGAGTTTAATGTAGGCTTTTTAAGCAGTGGGGTTCCCGAGCCTACTTGAATGTGGTGGGTAAATGTGTGAGTGCTGGTAAAAGTGTAGGAGAGATAGCTTGGAGAAGGTGTGAGGAGATTGGGTCTAGAGGACAAGATGTAGGATAGCTAGAGAGGAAAAGTTTAGATACTTCTGCCTCAGTGAGGAGACAGAAGGAGGAGAGGGGAGGTTTAGCAATGGATGCGGTTGGTTTGAGTTCTTGTATGTGTGGAGCTGAGAACTGACTGCTGATGGTTTTAGTTTTGTCTGTTAGTTTTAAAGTTTAGAAATTATAATGTCAAGTGAATAATATCAAGTTAAAGATAATAATAATATAATAAGATAATAATAATGTCAAGTTAAAAGATAATGTTAAGTAAGTGCTTATTTTTCAATGTTATTTCAATGTATATTATTTGGGAAGAAGTATGCATGTTAATCACTCATAATTGTGGCAAATTTGGAATATAATCTATTCCATTTTATGAATTCCTTGAGGTTTCAGTAGAAGTACATTGAAAAGTAATGCTACTACCTTTCCCCATAATTATTCCTTTTTTTTCTTGGGGAAACGTTTGTGTGAATCCCAGTGCAAGGGACAATGTACATTAAGATAACATTGCATTGGATTTAGGGTATATTGCTATACTGACTAACTGGTTTATTTTTCTTCTAAGCAATGTTTGCCTTTCTTGCTAACTGAATAATCCTGTGATTTTAGCCTTCAATCAAACAGTTTTGACCATAAAAGTAATACTTAAGTCCTCAGAGGCCATTTCTCTTGACATGTGCATTGAGACTCAGGATGGTAGCGGTGTCAAACTTGAATTAAACGATAGAAAGTAGGACCGATATGTAGATTGATTGATTACCCAGATTAATACAATGGTCAATCAAGAGATACTAATTCTGAGACTTGGTCCATAATTCAAAAAATCATTCAGAGTAGTATTTACTTGTTTAGTTTAGTGCTGGTGAATGTCTTAATATTCAGTATAGGAGATGAATATCTAGTGTCAGTTTTCCTCTCAAAATATAAGAATCTGTCATCCCATTGCTGTGTGTGTTCCCCTCAGTATCTATGGTGGTTACAGCAGAAGTAGACAACAGTAGGAAATCATGCACCAGTTTTTAAATAAAAAAGAAAAATACTGAGCAGACAAATTTTGAGAATGCATGTTCAGATTTATTGAAATGAAGGCGTTAATTTACAGCGGCTTTAAAAAATGTTTTATTAAGTGCTACTGAGCCAAGAAGTAGGTTTAAGCACACTGTTCATTGCAGCGACAGGCCACATGAGCATCTGTAGTCTCTCTCAAGTCTACACTCTTCTCATAGATTCCATCAAACATGTTGAGGTTGGAGTCTGGAACACAATATATATAAAAAATAGGAGCAACAATTATTAACCAAATGAAATATTTTCCCTTTCAGCCTATGTTAATCATTTTGAATTTTAAGATGTAAAATCTGCTTTCTAAAGCAAAACCATTTGCGGATTACTGGACTAGAGTCATATCAGTCTGCAAACAAGTAATCAAGTCACTTACCAGTGGACATACAGTGGTATCCAACAGTGACAGGAGTGGTTCTCATTGGTACACAGCCTGGCAGACAGCGCAACACAGGCTCAATGGAGTAACATTTAGATTCCTGTCCATTCAAAATCACCTGCTTCTCCAACTTCACAGATTCAAGTTTCATGCGGCATTCTGATAGAGGAAAGATATTTATTTTTTAAAATGTCTTTAAAACAAATGACATTTTTGTAATACACAGTGTCCGACAAATCTTACGGCTGGCATCACGGCAGCTGTCAGCAGGAAGCACCCATGAGTGGGCAAAGCTGACTGAACTCTTGGTCAGGTCTCCTCTGGGTGTGGTGTACTGCTGTCTGATTTCTCCATCAGCCTTTCCACAGAGTCCACAAGTCTGTCCCTTCATCCAGTCCACAACATAAACCTAACAAAATCCAAGAAAAATAGATAGTTTTAGAAATATCAGCATCAAATTCTCTAAGAAGCACATTGTAGTTTTAACACCTTTAGTGCCCACAGTGTTTGTAACATAAAATTAAACTGTAAAACTGTTAACCTTGTTATACACTAACACATTTAAAATATTGTACTTATATTATTTGGCATTATTTGGCAATTGTTTCATTGTTTGACTTACCATCCACTGGTCACTGGTATAATAGACCTCTTGAAGACCATGGCCTGGGGCATAGAGAGCGATACCTTGACCTTTATGCTCAATTTGTATGGTACCTACAACATAAAATCCTAATAAATGTACAGGTAAACACTCTAAGACTACCTTACCAAGGCAAAGACCAGCATCCCAGTAAAATTCATATGACAAATCAAGTCAAAAAAAAAAATCGCTAATGCAAGCAACAGACTTTTATTCCAAAATAATGTGGAGAGAACTTCAACCTGTTGGGTGCTGGTATGAAATATTGTTGGTTGGTATTTCAATTCCATTCATTTTAACCTTCACTGCACTCTTCTGGTGGTATATGTCAACATCGCTGTGGTGGAATAAAGCATTGAATATTGCAGTGAGGTTGCTTTTATATAATGGAACTAGTAATATCTGTGAGCTGGACTTACATGTCTGCCACCTTAATGTTTAGGTCTTCATGCTCAAAGACATCATCCTTTTTTATTAGGACTATGAATTTGTGCTCTGAAGTGCAGTCTTGAACTAAGACTTGGTAGCAGGAAAGGGGAATTTCATAGTTGTACTTCTTATGGTTGAATGTAGTCAAGGTGTTTCTGACCTTACTGCATTTAGCTAAATAGTGAGACAAACAAAACATTTACTGAAAAAAATAAATAAATTCATGAAAAACGAAAGGCCAGCTTAAGACACTTTACTAACCTGAACTAGTCTCTATATAAAGGTTTCGAATTATGTTTGTGACATCATTTTTTGGATAGGCCTGGATAGCCTCAAATGGCAAAGTGATTGGAAGAACCAAGTTCGACACTGACAAGGTCATCTGCAAATTCACAAATCTTAGAAAGTGCTGTCAAAAAAAAGGCATAGTTAACCAATCATTAGATTGTTGCTTACTGTTGGGGTCTTAATAATGATGTCCAGGGTCCTTTCAGTTGGGACAAGTATGATCAGTTCAATCTGCCTCTTAATGTTTTTTTCATCGCTAATAGCCAATCCAGTCATTTGAGCTGCACCAGGAATATATTCAGCCACACTTGAATAGGGAAGGAAAAGAAAAATGTGTTGATATGTTGACATATATGAAGTGGAACATTTGTGATGAAGAGTAACCAAACCTCTTGGCATAGGTGGTGATAATTGTGGGCACCTTCTCACACTTCACTTTAAGATAGGCCATAGGACTTGGACCTTGGTGGCCAGTCTCTGCGTTGATGGTAATTGCATATTGTTGGCACTCTGCACCCCAAGCAATCCTTGCCTAGATAGAGGCAAATTTTGAATGCTTTATCCTAACAGAGGGGTGTCCAGTCCTGCTCCTGTAGAGTCACAATCCTGCAGAGTTTAGCTCCAATCCCAATTAAACACACCTGAACCAGCTAGTCAAGGTCTTCAGGATTACTAGAAACTTTCAGGCAAGTGTGTTGGGGCAGGTTGGAGGTAAACTCTGCAGGCTATTGGCCCTCCAGGACCAAGATTGAACACCTCTGACATAGCAGAAAAAGATAACTAAAACAAAGTCATTTCATCAAATTTCTTACACCAACATTGTGCTTGCTCAAAAAGACACCATCAGCACACATTTTCCAGTTGTTCTTCACTGCAATGGAGACCACAATGATCTGCACCCTTGAGGTGGGCATGTCCAGGTAAGCAGTGAGCTGGTACCCCAACAACTTACGATCAACTCTCACAACACGTGCAATGATAGCAACCACTGGAGGAACCGAGTCCCCAAGGAATCTAGACTGTAACCATGTAAAGACATTTAAAACTTAATTGAATAAAAATACAATTATAAAAAAAAAATAGAATTAAAGGGTTTAGCAAAGATCTGCTTATAGAAACTACGTCATACCTGAACGGGCTTGAAACTTTCATTGCTTTGTCCACTGGAGAGGTCCTAGTGATCCATATAGTGATCCAGAAAAAAAAAATTGTTGTAAAAGTAAAGCTTTAAAACATTGACTTATGATTGGCAAATCATATTTTTCTTCTTTTTATTTCTTAGTTCCAGGCACACTGTTTGAATTATCAAAGAGAGAAGTGCATATGCATCGCCAATGTCCAAGAGATATTTAGCAAGATATATCTAGAAATATATATTAAATATTTGTCTGCAACCCAAGTCCAGTGCTTTGATTGACATTAGGGAGGACAGACAGTCGTGTAGTGTGAAAACAGCAATCCAACGAATGTGGTAATGAAAATACTCACTTTGGACAGATGCGAGTTGGAAGATCGAACAGAACTGCTGGAACTAAAGCTGTGGCTACTACTGCTTTGAGAGTAAAATAATTTATTATGGCTGACGAAACTGGAGTTCTTGTTCTTCTGTTCGCCCTCTAGGATTTTCCTCAGTTTCTGCAGGACGGACTTGACCTTGGGAGTCTTCGCGTCAGCAAAGCTGATTTCTTTAAGGAGCTTTTTAGCAGCTCTTTGGCCTAGTTGGACCTCTAGCTCTAGTCCCTCAACAGCAGGACCATCAGCTGTCAATAAATAGATTATAAGATAACACATTTTCAATAACAAACATAGTTCTAGTGAAATTCTGAAGATTTGACTTCAGACACTTGCCTCTAACTATGTTAATATGTACTCCATGCTGCCCAATCATGTTATAAATGGTGGTGTTTTTGATGAAGGTGGCATCACAGGACATAACCTCCATGCATACATTAACTCCAATGTGAGGTACAACAGAACAAAGTGTTTTGTGAACTGGAACACTAGTCCTCAGTTCAGGTTCCTCGGCTGGTGACATAACAGTTTTAATGGTTTCTGATGACTATGTAGGGATTAATAAAACAAATTAGAATTATTAAGAAATTCATTTTTAACATTAATTAGCCAAACAAATTTCTTATTATTTTACCAAATCTCCAGGTGAAATCATTGAGGTATATGCTTCTTGGGAATGTTTCAGAACTACAGTCTCTGGTACAATGGGTGTAATTCTCTCTGCATTGACCGCCTTGATGTTTCCAGCTGCTGCCAAAGTTTCAAAACTAGTGTGGGACAAGAATCACAAAAAGCCACTTTAGTAATGAGATAGACCATGGGGAAAAGATTGACAATGAGTCTACATAAAATATTCTGTACCGTGCTGTCAAAGCATGCACTGGAAGTACAATAGGAAAACCCTTTATCTTGAAATTAGCCTTTGTGATGTCAAACTTTGCCTCCACTTTTAGAGGCAAAAATGTATGGATCTTTCCTTTCGCCATGGATGCAGCTTGAATAAAACCAGTATTCAGTCCCATTACAGCAAAAGTCTGTACGGTAATGCTTGGTGAAACTTCAGCGGTTAACTTCACATCTGTCTTCATCAGATGAGAAACACTGATGGTTTCAGTTAGAGGTGGTGTAACAATAGCCTGGACTGGACATGATGGCAAATTAAAAAAAAAAAAAATTTCATTATTAAAGTGCATTCTCTATTAAATATTGTGCATTTGTATAAATGTCTTTCCCTATTTCCAATCAATCTATAAATAGACTACTGCATTTTTGAGACTCTTACCCTTCAAATTACCAGCAGCCACTGCAGCAGCATACAAACTGAACTCCATGGGTACACCAGCTACTGATGGAAAGATGCGACGCACTTCAGCCACCAGTAGGGGCTTGGCATACTGGAAGGCAGTGCCATTCTGTATTGCTTTAAGTGCTTCCCCTGCCAGCTCAGGTATATTGCTTCCAGTAGTAAGCTGTAGAAAAAATTTGATGGTTAGCTCCATTTTGAACGTTCTCAAAAGTTTAGGAGGACAACACAAATTAGTTAATTTTTTGGTTCATATGAAGTGATATTACCACAATATACCTGTGTTGCCTGTTCAAGAACTGCTTTGTCGACATTTGCAAAAGCAATCTCTTGTCCAAGAACTTTCACATAGATCGAGCCCAGGGGCTGCTTCTTTGGCAGGGCTTTGAATGTTTTTAGCTGCAGCATGCCAAATAAACAACAAAGAATATGTAACTGTTAAAAAACACTCCATGAATTACATTTATAATATGCCACACTTACAGCTTCAAGAACTTGTTTCATCCTGGGCAGCCTGTCCTCATGCAGGAATGGCGATTTCAGAAGAGCCTCCTGAATTCCATCAGTTCTGACGCCAACCTGAAAGAAAGTAATTCAGTGAGGTCGGGTAGGAATTTAAGAAATTAATAAAATAAAGAAGTACTCGATCTTTTCCTGTATCTTATTTACTCACCTCAAGAACATCAGCAGCAGCTCCAGCCAGGTAAGCACGTACTTTAGCTACTACAGCTCTGGGCAGGATGGTGGCAGCATCATTGATGATGAAAGCACTACCGGCAGCACCTACCATGAGAGGAACTAAACAACGGAACTAATCAGTAAGTTTTTTTGAGGAAACCATCACCTGCCATGCAACACCTTTGGAGATCAACAGAACTTTCTTACCTTCATAACCATCCAAGAGAAATGCTTTGCTGTAACGAAAGCTAAGTTTGTCCAGTTTTGGGCTTAATATTTTGATGGCAACCCGGCTGGCCGCGGCACTGAAAAAGACCAAGGTGGATTGTCGATGTTGAAGTTTTAAAAATCAATATGTTGGAACATATTTTGGCTTTTGTTAGCATAAACTCACATTAGAGCAAACTCAGGGTGTGTGCTCTTTGTCAAGGCTTTCATGTGCGAGTACACAAGACTGGCCACCTGTAGATTTGGTTCCTTCTGTAGAGCACGTGCAAGAGTAATAACCAGACCCATGCTTGGCTTTGTCTCAAAAAGCACAATCCACGAGACCATGCGCAGCTCTGGGTGAAGATCTTTGTTTACAAAAATCTGCAGAACTACATTCTGGACCTGAAATGCAAAATTAAATTAAAATACCCTTACCCAAATGAAGTATGCTTCAAGTTTATTTTATTAAGTATACTTAAGTTCAAGTATATTTTTAAGTATACTTTATGTAGTAAGTATACAAATATCAGTGTACTAGTAGTATACTTGT